CAAACTGGTTCTTAAGAACCCAATTGGGTCCAAGTGTACTAGTATAAGTCTAGAACTAATGGTACTAGTAATTTTTCAAACACACTCAATGTTAATTTGAGCATTATGATGGTATAGGAAAGTTTACAGTTGAGAACTACTACTGGTGATTTTGGTACTAGTAAAATACTAGTTTGGTACTAGTTCCATTTTCTGCAGGGTATAAGGCCATTCCAATTATCGCTAGATCATGATCCTAATTTTAAGCAATAAATTTTGCTTAAAATTCATCTAAACATTAAAAAAATGTTGATCCAAAAAATATTTTTCAATAAATGAAAAATTTTTTGTTGATTAAATTACAGCACACTTGATTTTTTTATATTTCAATTTTCTGTTCTCATATACAATGTTAATCACAAGTATATTAAGATGTAATGCAACAAAATTTTATTAAAAATTGAAACTTCATATCCAGATTTTATATACAAGTAAATCAAATTATAAGTAACACAAAGTAAGGCACACAACATTGGTTACAATTCCGAGTACTCTGAAAATTTTCTGTGGGGAAGTTAGAGTGCTATATTCGGCTATGCCGAATCTTAAATATCCCCCCACCAGCAAGCTACTTTTTATTAAAACCCATTTAACTCTGCATAAGTTTTGTTTCCGTAGTGAGGGTACTATTTAGTAATTTCATTATTCATATGTGGAACTTTTATTGATTAGGTCGAAAAAAAAAATTATATTAAGTGATTTTCGGACATGGACTTTTTACCGGTGCTATGACCTATTATGGGCTGATCTTGCCGATGCCAAAAAATTTAGGAGAATGATTTGTAAATTTACAAACCATGTTTTTGTCGAGTTTTACTCCGACGTCAAATATTTTAGCAGAATGATTTATCTATTTACAGAACATGTTCATGTTCACAAAACATATTCAAGTTGAATTTTATCCCGATAACTTTTATTGTCAATGAAATTGAGCATTTATGTTATTTTTGGAAGTGAGTGTTGTGACAAATGGAAGTTGTGACCATTTATGAACCGATCTTGGAAAAATTTCGCAAAATGTTTTATATACATATGTATAAACAAAACATTTTCACGTCGAATTTTACCCCAATAGCTTAATTAGTTAATGAAATATGTTTGTTTAAGTGATTTTCGGAAGTTGACCTTATATGGGAGCTATGGCTAATTACGGGCCTATCCAGAAACAAATTCGTAGAGTGATTGATACATACACAAAACATTTATTTATTTGTACATTACAATACAGTTACAAATTATATAAATAAATTATATTTATCGAGCGGTGTAGCAGACCAGTGTCTCTAGCGGGAATCGAACCGACAACCCCGACAATATTTTATTTCTAAACTAAGTTTTAAAAGATAACATTTTTATGAAATTTATATCTTCACCTGAAATACAAAAGGGCGTTACAACACATTAAACAATTTTACAGGAGAGACAAAAAAATAAATAAAAAATTGAAGCTATTTTGGTTATAAAAACGGCATTTTCTTACAAGTAAATATTGTATCCCAACATCGATAAACACGTTTAAATATAACTGCACCTTCAGATGTTGTCTATTATGTCGCTTTTAGGACATTCTTACTTGTGGAAATGACTAATTTGTTGTTACGCCCTTTAGAATTTCACTTCATATTTTTGACAATGGGATTCTAAAAATTTGCAACAACATGTATTTTGATGCAGTGGACCATTTTCAATCAAAAAGTCGATTTAAAATGTTTTGGTTGTTACTCCTTTTTGCATTACAGGTGACGATATTCAATTTATAATTGAATTATAAATTAAATAACAAAATAATAATAACAAACAAATTGTCTCTCTATATTCCACATTATATAGTGCATCACACAACTGACCTATTAAAAATGTCTATAAGTTCTACTTAATGAATTCATTACATATTATTTTTTAATTGGTACCATTATGAAAAATAGCAATATGAATACTATAATGTGATAATTTTGGGTCATAATATGATTTAACAAAAATTTTTTTTTACAATATAAAATATGCTTACTTTTAACAATAATAGGGCCATTTCAAAAATTTTCGATCAGGTTTTGTACCTTACCCTTTCCGATTTTGATGAAACTTGGTTCACACATTCTTTGTATAAATACGAAGTTTAAAGTTCTCCAAAATTTCCAAATTCATTCCGGTTTAGATTTTATAAAGGTTCAAAGTCCACATTTTTTAAGATTTTTTCAACAAGCATTAAATTTGACAGCGTTTTTTTCTATACTATTTATCCGATTTTAATTGTTCAAGTCCCTTCCTAAGGCCTATGTCTTGTAGTTTGGCAATATTTTATTTAAAATATTATCGTTTTAACATAAAGATAATGATATCAAAAAATGTCCTTTAGTCAAGGGTATATCAAAAAAGGTACCTTCCATTTTCTTTATTCTTTCACATAAGATTGCTTATAGTGTACTCAACAATATGTTTACCACAACCATGTTTTCTCTCACACAGGGGAACTTGTTTTGTGAAACTTTTTATTTTGTGTGTGGGAGAGAGATGGTTGATATTTCGTTTTCTTTTTCTCACAGCTGTATTTTGTTATAGTCAAAGTCAGTGATAGAAAATTGTGAAAGGATGGGAAAAATCAAATTAAATTCTTAACAAGTAGGAAAGTAATTCTGAGTCGATCGGTAAAGGAACAGCACAAATGTATAATACACTCCGGACTATAGTGGTGTAGGGTATAAAAATTAAAAAGTAAATTTTAAAACTAGCTAAATGCCGTCATCAAACATTGTTTCTTCAATTAACTATTCAATATAAATTTAAATTATAATTATGTTTCCTATTTATAATATACATATATAAATTCTATATGCTAAGCAAGTCGTATAATCCTGCTGAAATTGAAATAATACGAAATAGTTTTAAGTTTAAATATATGAAAACAGGGTTTACAGTCAAAATATAGGTGGACAAAATTATTTGAAGTTCTTTTTTATTGCATTCGCTATTTTGGAAGTTACAGTAGGGTCTAGATATATGAAGATATATAATTAAAAATATTGTTTTTTAACAAAGTTTTCATCGTTGTTATGTGGATTTGGTGTCTCTAAATCTGACTATGCAGTTTAAAATTTTCTACCACATATATTTTTCCTGTTTCAATAGGATTTAGTAAGAAAAAAATTTATATTAAGTTTCAGCTTATTCCCATGTTTATATAAGTTTTGAAGTATGGATTTCTAATTATGTGGTAAAATAGTTGAGATACAGTTAAGACTAAACGAAAATATTAACAAACATTTGTTGAATTTCTCGTGACTCTCTCATGAAAACGAAACGTCCCTTTGAAAACCCCTTTTGTATTGGAGGAGAGCATTTTGTTAGCTACCGAAAAAGACTATATTTATCCAAATTCAGAAAGTACCGATTTTTTAATTTTGTCCGACTAGATTTTGATTTGGAACCACAGTGCTAAAAGGAAAATTGTATGAAATTTTCCAACTTAAGTACACTTTTTAGCCTTATAGTGAACCTGCACTATAAAATCATACCTTTAATTATTGGCAGTTGTTATAATGGATCTTAAAATGTTTGTTTATTTAATTTTTTATTTATAAATATGAACCCAAGAAAATATTTAGAATTTGTTCTAAATAAACAGAACCACTTCAAATACTTTGAACATCATCCTTGGAACTAGAGTTGTCGCAATTCTAGAATTCCTTCTATGGAAGATTGTTGTGTATGTTAAAAATCAATTAAAATAATATTTTTATTTTTTTTTTAATAAATGAATTTGTTTTTATCGAAATAGAAAATGCATTAAAACATTCAATCATCAATTAATTAAAATTAAACGAAATCCTCAAAGTCAAAATCAAAAAATCGACATGATTTCTTTACTATATTTACAGAATTATAGCAATATAGAGCAAGTTAAACTTCATTAATTTAATCTGTTTTACAAAAAATTTAACTCGAAGAAGTGAGAAATATTAATGTTATTTCTTATACACATAAGGGAAAACCTTATTTACAGCAACCGATCTTAATTTAACATTAACAAAAATCATTTATTTTAGAAAAATCTGTCGGAGTCATTGTGATCAAATGATGATGATTAAATAATATATTAAATGCTTTGTTTCATTCACACCAATTAAAAATTCAATGTCAAAAAACAATAAACTTTAAGCAGAAAAACCTTGAAAAAATGAAAATTGGCCAAGTGGCCTCAAATATTATTTATTTTATGTGACATCTTGAATTTGTATGGATGTACATATATTGTATACATATGTATAAGCATTCAACGCACACAACTAAATGTTCCAAATTTGTATTTATTTAAATACTAAAATAATTTTTTAAATGCAATTTCTTTTCGTATATTAAATTAATAACGTCTGGAACCTAATGAAAATAAAAATACTAAACTGATTCGAATGGAACAACAAAATATACATAATTATACACATACTTAAATATACAAAAAATAATATAAAACAAATATGTAAATAAAACGAAATAAAAAACAAACAAAAATACTTTTTTAGTTTTCAAAAATATTAAAAGCTTTGAAAAATGGCATGTTGAAAAATTCACATAAATATTTGGACAAACTTACAGTGATAACATAGCTCCAAATACCAATCCCAATAAACATTGATTCAAATGTTTATCCTTTAAACTTTAACTACTTTTTACATGTTCACAAGAGCTTATTATAAAAAGACGAGTACACAGAGTTAATACAAATGGTCCACAGTTTCTTGTACATGTAGATTTTTTATGTGTGAAAATTACTGTTGCACAGTATTATCTAACTTGTTTTGAATTGTTGTTAAACACAAATTATTTAAAAAAAAATCGGAAAATAGTCACGGTTTGACCCGATAAATGTTCTTTCTTCACTTGCGATATCAAAAGTTCATTAAAATCAATAAATTCGGAAAATTTTTTGTTTTACTTTATTTTCTTTTTTAATTTGATCTGTTAAAATCCGAAACAATGACATTTAATGGAAAGTAACAAAAAATTAAATATTTTAACATTTGCAAGATTCCGAAAAGCATGAAATAACAGTTTTTGCGCAACAACTTGAATTACATGTCTGGGAAATGCATATATGGGGGCCAAATTGATTTGAATGTTGAGGGCAAGTCAACTGACTACTATGAAAAGGAGATACATAATAAAGGAAAAAATAATATATAATAATTTTTATAATTACCATAAATCACGCTGTTCCATGAGTGCTCGTAAATAGTCACATGCTTTAACTTCATCAGCTCGTGATGGTTTGGTATATCTATATTGAAGAGATTCCGTTTTTTTAAACATTAATCCTTGCAACTTTCTTATTTGATTAAAATTCGATTCATTATTAAGACCAATATTGTCTCCTCGTCGAACTTTAGCATGTAAATTAGTAACAATACGATAATTCTTTCCTTTGGGCTTATTAATATCATCGAAATCTTGGGACTTGCGATATTTATCTTGCCTGACATTTCTTGATGTTTTGCGATTTTTATTATGACTTTTTGATTTTCTCGAACTCCGTTTACTCACATTTCTTGTAGTATTTTCGAAATTGCCATCTTTATTTCCCTTTCCGTATGCTCTCTTATGAGTATAATCATCATCATTATCTATATACGCACCATCTTTATTTTTCTTATATTTATTTTTATTTCCCTTTCCGTATGTTCTCTTTTGAGTATATTCTCCATCACTACCAATTTCAGCACCATCTCTATCTTGTATATATTTATTTGTATTTCCCTTTCCGTATGTTCTTTTTTTAGTATATGCATCATCACTTCCAATATCTGCTCCATCTTTATCTTTCTTATATTTATTCTTCCCCTTTTTAGTTTTTGTATTATCCATTTCAGATGGGCTTAACTCACGTTCTTTATAAGTTGGTTCTCCTTTCTTTAGATTTCTACTGTTCTTTTCTTTCTTTTTGCTATCACGGTTTCCAAACCTTTCTTTTTCATTGTAGTTTTCATCTGATTCACTATCATCTCTGAAATTGCCACTGTTAACTCTCGAGGATTGTTCCTTCTTTTTATTTATGAAATCTTCTTTGGTTCTATCATTGATATCGGGAACATTATTTCTGTTGCCTTTTTTACCAATTCCATGAAAAAACTTTTCTCTTCCTTTCAATGTTTTGCCAGGATCATTTTCATCGTACCCGTTGCTTTCCCTCTCCCTACGCTTGCTACTTTTCCATTTTTGATTTCTTTTATCGTAATAGTCTATTACTTCTTCCCCAGCTTCTTTACTCTTACTTCTCATCGTCTTTTCACGATTAGATACATTGACATCAAAATTAAATTTCTCTTCATCTTTCCCTTCCTTCCTTACAAAAAGTTTGTCTCCTCTGGACTCCTGACCAACACCATCTTTCTTTATACTATGTAATCGGTAACGATCTTCACTAGATTTTTCATATCTCTGATCTTTATTATTTCCATCGTCTAAACCAAAAATGACAAGATATTGTAGTTTATATAAAATAAATTAATAGAAATTACTGACCACGAGAACCTGATCGGTGTATTCTGACATTGATACTATTGCCACCATCAAATACCGTATATTTTTCACGGCACTGAGAACGATTGTAGTCCTTAAAGATTTTGTGACAAATTTTTCTTAAAGTTGTATAAGTTCGATTGTTTATAAATTCACACTGATCTCGACAACACGTATTAATGCAACTTCTTGGGCAGCAGTGATATATATAATCCGTGCAACTAGATGTTCTGCAATATTAAATGTCAAATTTATATCGTTTCCTCTCTTAGATTGCACTTTGATTAATTCCTTACCTAGATGCGGTTAACACATTTGAACAGCGATTTGAACGATTTACCATTGTTTCAATATGTACATTTTAGTAAAGAAAAAACTTGAAATTTTTTATTAAATTTTATGAAAAATTTAACACAAATTCTGGATCATAAAATATAATTATGTATGTGATGAATTTAATTTATTTTGAATATCATTTATGACAAATTATTTTTAAATTACCAATTCTGTTTCGTAATTAATATTACCCAACAAATAAGAATTAATCAATACTCTAAACTGATTTTAATACAGAACTTGACCAACGCCAAAAGTAATTCGGAACAAAATAAGGTGAAGTCTTCATATTTATATGTATGTACTAGCTATACCTAGTGTGCTTCGCTACCCTCACCGTAATTGAATAAAATAAATATTAAAATAAATATACTTGTTTCTAGGTTCAATATTTAAAATCTATGAAAGTCCTCTTTTAATAAGTTTGATTTTATGATTCTAGTGTCAATATTACAGAAAATGAAAAAAAAAAAAAAAAAAAACAGTTGAAGAACGTAAAAGTACCAGACAATGACTTTTTATAGATTTTCATTTAATCAGGATAATGCATGTTTAATTTTCAACCCGAAATTTCTCTCATACAGATTTTGATACAATCAGGAAGATGCGTATCCAATTTTATGTTTTTAGGTTCAATATTGTAGAAAATTCGAAAAGTATTAGTAAAATTACAAAAAAGAACCAGAAAGTCTCCTTCTTAAATTTTCGTTCAATCAGGACACTGAGTGTTTAATTTTAAGTTTATATATTCAATATTTTAGAAAACTCAAATAGTACCAGTTGAAGTACGAAAAAGTACCAAAAGACCTCTTTTATTTACTTTCATGTTAAAAAGTTCAATATTATAGAAAATTCAAAAAGTACCAGTTAAAGAAAAGTACCAAAAAGTCTCCTTTTATATGTTCTCACTTACTCCGAGCTCCACGTGCTTAATTACATGTTTCTAGGTTCAATTTAATAGAAAACTCAAAAAGTACCAGCCGAAGTACGATAAAGTACCAATAAGTCCCCTTTTATAGATTCTCATTTACTCCGGGCTCTACTTGCTTAATTTCATGTTTCTAGGTTAAATTTTATAGAAAATTCAAAAAGTACCAGTCGAAGGACCAAAAAGTCCCCTTTTATATGTTCTCACATACTCCAGGCTGCACATGCTTGATTTAATGTTTCTAGGATCAATGTTATAAAAAACACAAAAGTATCTTTTGAAGAACTAAAAAGTACCAAAAAGTTTCCTTTTATATGTTCTCACTTCCTCCGGGCTCTGCATGCTTAATTTCATGTTTCTATGTTCAATATTATAGAAAATTCAAAAAGTACCTTTTGAAGAACCAAAAAATCCCCTTTTAAAGGTTCTCACTTAATCCGGGCTCTACATGCTTAACTTCATGCTTCAAAATTTAATATTATAGAAAATTCAAAAAGTTCCTTTTGAAGAATAAAAAAGTACCAAAAAGTCCCCTTTTATAGATTCTCATTTACTCCGGGTTCCACATGCTTAATTACATGTTTCTAGGTTCAATTTAATAGAAAACTCAAAAAAGTACCAGTCGAAGTAAGATAAAGTACCAATAAGTCCCCTTTTCTAGATTCTCATTTACTCCGGGCTCTACATGCTAAAGTTCATGTTTCTAGGTTTAATTTTAAAGAAAATTCAAAAAAGTACCTGTGTAGAACGAAAAAGTACCGAAAAATCCTCTATTATTAATTTCATGCTTCGATTTCAATATCATAGAAAACTCAAAAAGTACCAGTTGGAGAGTAAAAAGTACCAAAAAATATCACTTGGTACCGGTGTTCCAAATAACACCCCATTAGCATATTTAGTATTTCTAAATCTAAAAATTTTATTTAAATTGGATCATTGTGTTTGAATAAAATCAAATTTCCCCTTTTGTTGCTTTTTTCCTCCCCATTAACGAAATAAAAATTCTATTCCAAAAAGTTGCAACATCGTATTGGGAGCCCGTTATTATATATTCATGTGTATAAGTTAATTAACCAAAAACAATGTTCTTTATCCAATGTTCGAATATCCAAAAAATACTAAATTAATATTTTTATTTTTTCGTCAAGTTGTAAAGGAGTCAAAAATATTTTTTGAATGTTCTCTGCAAAGAATAATAAGAAGTTGGACTATGACATTGTTTTACAACAATAACATTTCCTTCTCTTCACAGACGAGTTCTGTGTAAATTCAACACACTTGTGAGAACTCAATTCTCTCACAATACTTCAAAACTTTTTCGCGAAAATACCGGTATAATAGGACTTGAACGACATTTTTTCACAAACACATAACTATTTTTTAATTTTTTACACAATTTTATCGCATTTAACAATCCGAAATATTTTTATTTTTCACAAACTAAAAAAATATTTTTTTAATATTTTTGACAATTAATTTTTGTGTGTTGAAATTAAAATTGACAAAACAAAGTTGTATATTTTGGTATTGAAAATGAAAAAATTAATTAAAATAAACTTATTTTTTTGCAAAAAAAGAGATTTTAAGTCCGAAAAATATATTTATTAAATGTTTACTGATTAGATGTGGGCAAAATAAATTAAAAAATCTGCGAATGTAGAAATTTAAATGTTATTTATTTTTCCTAAAATTTTTATGTACGATTTTATGCAAGTATGTATGTTTGGAAAGTGTGGTGAAAGTGTTTGGAGCTCCAATACTAATACAAAAATTCTACCAATACATACTTAGAGTTAGGTACCGAATGACAACTCCTTTACGTACCAACTGACAAGCCCCAATATCTTTATATTCTTTGGTTCTCTGGTTTTAAAGATACATGGGGTGCAAAAACAGTATCAAAATACAGTTTTTACCCGTTTATTCCCTAAAGGGGCCGAATTTGAAAAAAGACACCTGTCCGCTTATTTTTTAAATGAACGACTATAAGCTTTAAACTGTTTTTGTATCTTTTATAGTTTATGAGATATGAGGTTACCGAATTTGCCCGTTTTTAGCCTTTTTTACCCCCTAAACATTCGAATTTCCAAGAATCCCTTTTTCCCGATCTATTTGGTGGGAAACCAACCTCCTGTCCAAATTTCAGCTCTTTAGCTTAGGCTGTGCGATGATGAATCTGTCAGTCATTCAGTACCGTTAGAATTATATATATATATATATATATATATATATATATATATATATATATATATATATAGAGAGAGAGAGAGAGAGAGAGAGAGAGAGAGAGGGAAAGAGGACCGCATCTTGGTGTATTGCAATCTGGGGGAGAGAAGTGCTACCAGTACCTCTAGTCTGCCGGGACTATAAACTGGTGATGTCAATTCACTCATCGGCTAGTCCTTGGTATGATTTGACATGAAGTCTAACCAGAGAACCACATAATCTGGTACCACGAGTGGCTAGTTGCCCACAGGACTTGTCCTGGCTGGTCAGTTGGTTGAGGTTCCTTCGGAATCCACGTAGTGGCTGTGGTTTAAACCCAAATTCGCGGGAAGAGACTGTTGGTTAAAGGGCTGATATACCCTATATATAATGCGTTGACTAATTCTCTATTCAAATGACACAGGTCTGTGTACAAAGCAGCATATGCTGGATTCCTGAACCCGATCAGTATTTCTTACCGGTCGTGTAGTATATATACTGGAAAGTTGTCAGGTTAACATTCAGTAGCTGCCTGTCATTCCGTAGAAATATCTTTATGATCATGGGAATGGAACTGATGCAAAAAATTGGTGAAAGATTTGGAAAGTCTCCATATATTGGAGACTTGTACTGATTTAGTATGCCTTTTTATGCTTCGGGGAATTTCCTCGGTGCTGTTGCCATCTCAACAGGATATTTTTATGCTACGCGACTTTTTGTCGGGCAATTATTGGGTTCAGTTTACTTTGGAAATTCTTACATCCTTTGTTACAGATCGGTTCATGAAGAGGGATCCTGATTTATTATCTTGGGTATTTCGGGCTACCAAATACGTCTCTAGGTGCCGATGCCATACCAACAGAAGCCATCTCAGTAGTGTGGTTGGGTGACATATAAGGTCCGGGAATGCACTGGGGTGAGTCTTTAGATGATGGGAATGTTTTGTAGGGACATTAGCATTCCTTAGGGTGTTTTCACCTGATGTTGGGTACGCCCCTTCTATTGAATCTAACTAGTGATTGCCTTTTCCTTTGTCGGGGTTAGATTGAGCATGCTCATGACACCTGTCCTTCCCCAACGGGGCTACTATGGCAAGAGACTCGATTACTTCAGCAAAGTGCTTGTGCATGGACCGGCTCAGCCATGTACAAAAATTGCCACCTGTGCCTCGTTTCTGTAACTCTCGCATCGAGAAATTTCTCGCATGAAACAGTGAAATTGAAGAAAAAACAATGTGAATTGGAACAAAATATCATTTCTCACATGCAAGTGTTTCTGTAATTTCTTTTTGTGAGAACTATCTGTCATTTAAGTTTTTTGACGTAAGTTATTGGAAATTTGTGAGTAAAAGTGTTTCTGTAAGAAAATTTTGTGAGAAGTTTCTCACATGAACTGTCAAAAAAACTCACATTTTAAAACGGTGCGGAAAGTAAAATTTTAAGGAAAAAAAGTTTAATTTAAACATAAATTCTATAAAATAATGAAAAAGTAATGATATTTTTATAACTAATTTTTAGAAAATTGGAGGAATTTTCGATATACAGAAGCAAATGCAGAAAAAGTATGTGGGAATAAACTTAGAATTGGCTTGGGGAGAATTTATTGGGATAATTTTTTGAACACATTTTATTTAATTCCTATATTTTTTGTTAATTTAATCATTGTTTATAAATTTGTATGGATTAGTGAAATGCCAACCTTATCAACATCACGCCCATGCTGAACTCGGAGCTCACACTCTCCATTAATTGTTTGACCTTTGAAGCGATTGCGTGGTCCACTATGTTATTGTTGACCAGGTATTCTATTTTACTCTGTTTGTCTATTGGAATTTTGCCTGTCGGGCTACCGACATCGTAAACTGCATAGCAGAGATCATCCCGTTGTCTCTTTCTGGCAACTTTGGCGTAAGATGGCGGCTCTTTTCCTTTTCCACTGTCTAGCTTCTCCTTCCTCGTTTTTCGGGGCTGCTTTTGTGATACCCCTTTCCATCGAGGTTGATTTCGCCG